GGGCCAGATGCTGAACCGCATGGGCGCTGGACGCCTCCGCTCTCTGGGCTGCATCCTGGCCAACCTGACCTTCTGTGTCCTACTGACCCTCTTCCAGGGCCTGACCTCCGCCACCTGCCTGGAGGCGACCTCACAGGCCCTCATGTGGAAGAACAGCTTCTTGGCCAGTAAGTATTCAGTGAACACACATGTTCATAAAGGCAATATTTGCATATTTCTCCCCAAACGTGTCTTATCACTGACAGAAAACAGTGCTTTCTGGGTAAAATGAACAAAGCAGAACTGGTCCCCTTGAGTTGGTGAAAAGATGGGCCTTGTACGTCATCCGAGGCCCAGTGCTATTCCCTGCATCCATGTTTACCAGTTTACGGGACTAGTTTACCAGTTTATGGTTAAATCTCACGTGATAGGTTACATTTTTCTTGATTAAAGCTGTACTCTGATTTCTTCCATCCCTTTTATTTTTATCAGGTATATCTGGATGTCCTAGGGTCAGGGGAGAAGAGACAGTGGCCAGTTCAAGTCTATTGATCAGTTGTTCACTTACTCAACATAAATATGATGTATTCTTATATTCCTTTTGAATAAACAGTGAATTGTTTTTATTTGGCTTTGTATTAGTTTGCTAAGGCTGCTGTGACAAAGAATTGCAGACTACGTGGCTTAAACAGCGTAAATTTATTTTCTCATAATTCTGGAGTCCAAGTGTGGGCAGGCCTGGCTCCCCACAAGGCCTCTGTCCTCGACGTATGGACGGCTGTCTGCTCCCTCATCTTCCCTCTGGGTGTGTCTGTGTCGGCACTTCCCCATCTTCTAAGTACACCAGTCATGCTGGATTAGAGCACATCCCGTGACCTCATTTTCAGTTGGTCACATCTGTAAAGACTCAATCTCCCAATAAGGTCACATGGTGAAGTGCCACGGGTGAGGACTTCAACTTATGAATTTTGGGAAGGCAGAATTCAGCCCACAAGCAGCTTTGTATATGAAATGCGAAGAATTCCTGTGGCAGAACACAGAATCCAAAGACATCGGTTCTTAGGGGCATCTGTAATCACAGACAAGGAAACCCTATTATTTGTGCAGCCTCGTAATTTTTCAAGTCCTGCAAAAATTCAAAACAAGTAATTTCTTTGTATTAATGACACCACCGTGTGTTTTTGTTAAAATAAAAAAGAGGCTTTTTAATTTTAGGAGGGAGTTGGGAATTGGGAGGCCTTAGTGCTACCTCACCGCCGAGGGCTTGTGTCACACAGAAAATCAGCCTCCCCTCTCTGGGGTGTGGCCCCTTCTCAACGGGGGCGCTGAGCTGAGTGTCCTGGGTCATCCGGTCAGACCCATGCTGATGTGGTGTGAGCCGCTCCTAGGTTGTGCTGACCCCTTGTTTGTCCTTTTCTGACTTTAGGTATCATTTTTAACAGTTCCTTAGCGGGTAAGAACCTCAGCTCAGAATCTCTCCAGCTGCCACCCCAGTTACGTACAGCATGAGGACCAGCACTTTATACAGCTTGAGGACGGATCTGGTGAAAAACCCTTTCTGGAAGTTCCACCCTCAGAGCCTCCCAGCCGATGGGTTCAAGTATAACTACATCTTTGTCCCGTTGCAAGACATGATCGAAAGAGCTATCATCTCAGTGCAGACGGGGCAGGAGGCCCTGAACCCGGCCGTGCAGGTGCAGGCCATCCTGTACCCATGTCACACCAGCCACCTGTGAGTACCCGGTGGGACTGAGCTCCTGAGGGCCCCCGACAGTGGGAGGGGCCCTGCATTTGGAAACCAGGTGGAGAAAAATCCTGGAGCTTTTGTATAGCCATTCCACCAAAGAGCATTTGGAGACGATCCATTCTTTTTAATTTCCTAAGGCTGAGCCATCCAGATAGAAGAACAATTGTGGATATAATGTGGTCAGTTAGATTTGATACCAGGCATCTGTAGCTTCAGACACCCTTCAGAATAAATTTGACGAATAATATTCACAGGGGATTCCTCCCATCTGAACTAGGGAATCAGAGGAAGCTTATTTCCTCTTCAGCCCAAATCCTTACAGTTTGGGCCTGTGCCACCCACATGCAGGGATGGAGGGATTCCCAGAGGCCTGGGGTGGGTGACCTCGTAGGTGGGGTCATCCGAGAACACTCACGAGTTGAATTGGGTGATTCAGCAGGTGACGGCAGCTCCGACACTCTTGGGGTGAGAGTGAGAGGAAGCTCAGTCGAAGGGACTTGGGGCAGCGCTCACCGTTGGGACGTCCTTCCGTGTAAGATGCTTCGGAGCCGAGACCTGGGCAATGTTCCAGGCGGTGCTGTGTTCAGAGAGGGGTGCATTCATGAGCCCCTTCCTCCCTGACTTTCCCAAACAGGTCAGCAAGCAGGACTGGGCAAGAGGAGGATGACAGCAGACCCTGCCCTGGGCTGGGGAGCTGCACCCTTCTGTGCATGACTCCGGCACAGGCTGGTGGGAGGACACAGCCCAGACGTGAGCCTGAGGGTCCCTGATTCACCCCTTTCCATGTCGGGGAGGGCGGTGGAGACACAGGACCTGCATCAGCCTGCTGGCCCGAGGTTCGGGGTGGGGAGAAAGCTTTGGTCCTTTTCAGCAGTAGCCCCTGCCCGCATTGTCCTGGGCCTGGGATCAGGGTCCTGGGGGTGGGGGGTGGATGGAGGGAGAAGAGTAGGAGGCAGAGCCGGGGTGATGTGGGGAGGGGCTGGGGGTTGGCCACCACCCTGCACTGGCACCGAGTCATGCATCTCAAGAGACAAAAACAAAAGCTGAGCCTTTTTTTTTTCTTTTTTTAGTTTCCATATGTATGTGTTAGCATACAGTATTCGTTTTTCTCTTTCTGGCTTATTTCACTCTCTATGACAGACTCTAGGTCCATCCACCTCACTACAAATAACTCAATTTCGTTTCTTTTTATGGCTGAGTAATATTCCATTGTATATATGTGCCACGTCTTCTTTATCCATTCATCTGTCAGTGGACACTTAGGTTGCTTCCATGTCCTGGCTATTGTAAATAGAGCTGCAGTGAACATTGTGGTACATGACTCTTTTTGAATTATGGTTTTCTCAGGGTATGGGTATATGCCCAGTAGTGGGATTGCTGGGTAAAATGGGTCTGAGGAACCTCGGGGCAGCACAGGAATAAAGACGCAGACATAGAGAATGGACTTGAGGATATGGGGAGGGGGAAGGGTACTGGGACAAATCTCAAGAGACAAAAACAAAAGCTGAGCCTTTTTTTTTTCTTTTTTTAGTTTCCATATGTATGTGTTAGCATACAGTATTCGTTTTTCTCTTTCTGGCTTATTTCACTCTCTATGACAGACTCTAGGTCCATCCACCTCACTACAAATAACTCAATTTCGTTTCTTTTTATGGCTGAGTAATATTCCATTGTATATATGTGCCACGTCTTCTTTATCCATTCATCTGTCAGTGGACACTTAGGTTGCTTCCATGTCCTGGCTATTGTAAATAGAGCTGCAGTGAACATTGTGGTACATGACTCTTTTTGAATTATGGTTTTCTCAGGGTATGGGTATATGCCCAGTAGTGGGATTGCTGGGTAAAATGGGTCTGAGGAACCTCGGGGCAGCACAGGAATAAAGACGCAGACATAGAGAATGGACTTGAGGATATGGGGAGGGGGAAGGGTAAGCTGGGACAAAGTGAGAGAGAGGCATGGACATATATACACTACCAAACGTAAAATAGATAGCTAGCGGGAAGCAGCTGCATAGCACAGGGAGATCAGCTCGGTGCTCTGTGACCACCTAGAGGGGTGGGATAGGGAGGGTGGGAGGGAGACGCAAGAGGGAGGAGATATGGTATATATGTATATGTATAACTGATTCACTTTGTTATAGAGCAGAAACTAACACTCCATTGTAAAGCAATTATACTCCAATAAAGAGGTTTAAAAAAAAAAAGCTGATTTCTCCACGTGGCTATCCCTGTATATGGGATTTTGATCCAACAGGCTCATCCTTTTCTGTCTGACGTTGCTAATAGAGACAAGCCACTGAGGAACACTGTTAATAAGAGTTATTAAAATGCAAGTCAGGGATTTGCCACCTTCAGAAAAAGACGTGGAGACAACGAAATGTTTATGAAGATCAGAGTAACCTTTTAAAAAGGTTTAAACAAATGAGAATGTTGGATTTCCTAATTTCCAAGTTTATTGACAGGCTTTTGTTTGGGTTCCAGAGTAGGGATAAATACACGGAAGAATCTGGAGCATATTTGTTTGATTCATGCTGACCTGATAATAGGGAGGTGACAGACAGTCCTATTTCTGAGGTCACTTAGACATCCTGGATTTAATATGTTTCTTCTTTCATTGTTAGTTTTGTAAACAAATGGTTATCAAAAGTTGAGAAAGTAGAGAAAAAAGTCATACTTCATACCCTCTCCTAAAGCATCAGTTGTTTTTTGTTTAGTGACTATTTTTCCCTTCCGTGACCTTGAACTCATGACATCTTGCTAAGAAAGTTTTTGTGCTGTTTTTTCATTTGAAGCCATTTATGGAGCCTTTGCTATGTGTCATGTATGCACGTGACTGTCATACTTGGTGGTGAAAAAGGTGTCGTCCTTGCCTTCTGGGAGCTTGCAGACCAGGGGTTACCAGGACCGTATGAGCCTGGAGAACGGCAGTCACCCTCCCCTGTGGGATTTCCCAGGGATGAGAGTCACAGGACCTCTCGCCGCCCAGTTGGGAAGTTGGTGGAGGGGCACACGTGTCCACGTCAGACACCAGTCTCTTCCCTAAGGTCCGAGGGAGGATTTGAGGTCGAGCAGAGCACTCGTGTTCCTCTCCCTCTCCCTCATCCCCTCTTTCTGTGGTTAGTCTGCCTTCAACATGCTTCCTCTTTCTGCATTTTAAAAATTCACTTGGTGCACACATAGTTTCATTATTTTCTTGTTCTGTTGATACTTTTTTCAAAGGACCACACATGGACTTTATCAATTATCTTCTTTTGTCTTTTCTAACTTACTTGTTCTGTCTTTATTTTTATTACTTCTTTACTTTTATATACCTTCAATGTGTTATGCTGTTTCTCTGATACCTGAGACCCATGTTTGATACATTATTTTTAGTGTTTTTTTCCTTTAATTTGTGTAGTGACCTAAGGTGATGACTTTTCTTTTCAGTCATTATTTCAACTATGTTCCATGGATCTGATATACGACTAAAAGTTCATTGTTTTCTAGACACTTGCAATATGGGTTTCTACTGTCTTCTTGACCGAAGAGCTGTTTAAGTTTCTTTTAATTCCCAAGTGGAAATTCTCAGGAATTTTAAGCATGTGAAGTTACTCAACTTACTTATAGTAAGAAAAATTCAAATTAAAACTAGTCTATGATAACATTTTAAAAATCAGATCGACAAAATCCAAAATTGCATCATACCCTAAATTGCCAAATACTGCTAATAAATCCTAATTTGTACATTGCCATCAGAAAATGCTGTGTTTATCATTTCCACTTTTTGAATTTATGGCATTTTCTCTGTCAACTATTATATAATCAACTTTTGTGAATGATTTATGGGCCCTTGAAAAGAAATTTCTGATTTCCTATTTTTATAGTATAGAATTTATCTACATTAACTTTGTTGTTTAGGAATTCTCTGTCCTTATTTGTGTCCACTTCATCTATGCTGAGCTAAGATAGATAAACTGTAGTCTCCTGTTACTGGAACATCCCCTTGCTTTTTCCTATGGTGTTGGCCTTTCGAATCTTGGGGCTGAGTCACTTTGTGCAGAGCCATGAATAATTGTGTTCTGGATCTTCCTTAATGCTTTGTGGACGTAATTCTACCTTGTATAAAATTAAATTAATGACCTCTGCTTTTTCCCCCTTTCTTCTCTCTGGATTCACGGTTTGCTTGCCACGCCTTTGCCCATCCTTGCATTTTAAACTTTTTTGAAGTGTCTTGTTTTAGGCGTGTCTCTTGTGTGCATCACATAGCTTCATACACAGGGGAGGTTAGCTGTTTAACAGTATGAAATGGAATTTCAGGTATATATGGTCTTAGTTATGTAATATATTTTTCTATACTTATACCATTATTTAGGAATGTTCTGCTGTTGTTCCAGTGGTTCCCTTATAGTTATAACTTTGTACAAATAATATCAACCCTTTCTTTTTGTTTTTTACCATGACCAATAAAAAAACAATGTAATTTCTCTTCTTCCATCACATCTTTTTTATCATGCAATTTTAGTTAACATTATTATCTCAGTGTCCTCCTTTGTACGTCAAAGATGCCTATACTTATATTCTACATTTGTCAGCATTAAATAGTCTTTGATTTTGGCATTTACCAACTCATTCTTCCTCTTTGAAGAATTTCCCCAACCTTCCAATTTTTGTTTGTTGTATCATTTTTACATTTCAGGGAACAAAACATTTCCAATATCTCTTGTCATCTTATTTTTCATTTTTGTTTTAGTCTTATTTTTACTGGAAATAAATCCACTTCTTACCATTATTCTTTCACTGTGATTTACCAGTCACCCTTCTGTGGGCTGGTTTGTCTTCTAGTAATTTCCTTAAGAAGATCTCATGAGACAACTTAACCCGGGTTCTTACATACTTAAAATTCTTTGCAGCATTTATATTTGAAAGACAGCTTGGCTGAACATGAAATCCTGGGCTCACTCTTTCCTTGAGTATCTTGTAGAAATAGCTCCATTATCTTTGGCTTTCAGGTTAGTATAAAGAAATCTGAGGCCACCTTGATATTTTCACTCTTTTATCTGACTTGGTAATTTTGACAAATTGCTAGTAACTTGAAAATTCAATAATTTACTAGGATACACTTAATTGTTGACCATTCTAGGACAGTTTTCCAAGGCACAAGATGAGACCTTTCAATGTGTAAGACTTAAGCTTTTTTTTTTTTTATGGAAACTCTTGGTGTGTTCTAGCATTACAAATTTATTCTCTTCCAGTATTTGTTTTTTCTTCTTAAGGGAATCCAGTTGCATGACTTCCCCCCTGTGTTTCTTTTCAACAAAATCCCCTTAATTCTATCAAGCTCCTTCTTTCTTTCTGTCCCTTCAGCTGCGTTCTCATGTGTGTTTTATGGCTCTCACTGGGTGTGTGCAGCGTCGTTTGCCCTTGTCGTGCCCCTCATCCTGTCTCTATCCGTCTGGCGACTGTCTTCCACCTTCTGTTTCTCCCCAGCCTCTTCCAGCTCACATTCCGTGTCTTCCTGCTGCCTCAGCATCTCATCACTGAACCGTAACACTCCTGTGGTATGGTGTTTTTATAGGGTATTGCCTTAGTAAATAGTTTCAGACTGGTGGCAGAGATGTTGGCTATTTTCATCTGTTTCACGTCACCATCTTTTTGGCATGTGTTCTTCATTTGTTAATAATTCTGAGACTCTCAACCTACTTTTATTTCTCGCGTGGCTGTCGTGCTAGATTTCTGTTGCCGTTGTTACTCATCTTGAATGACTCGGGTCTTCCTGGCCAGTTGTTTGCAAGGGTCTCCAGCTAGTGGTGAGGACCAGGGATGTGAATGCCCCCAGAGCTCAAAGGCTCTCTCCGACGGCCACGAAGACTGAGTGCTTCCTGCACATACACATACTCTGCACATAACCCTCCTCCTCTGTCTCCCTGGAGACTCTCTGGGTGGGGGTAGCTCCTGACACCACCCAGTTTAACAGGCAGTGGACATCCACTTAACACCTGCTGTTCTCTGTGCTGTGCCCTCAGAGTGCCCCAGGGTTTTAGGAAGTGTAGTGTTTTTTTTAAATAACAGACATTTATTTCTCACTGTTCCAGAGGTCCAGGGGCTAGTAGGTTTGGTTTATAACGAGGGCCCTTTATCAGGTGTGAAGACTTCCTGCTATGTCCTCAGAGGGTGGAGAGAGTGACAGCTCTGGTCTGTCTTCTTCTGCTTCTGAGGACGCCAGCGTCATCCTGGAACCCCATCCTCATCACCTCATCACAACCTAATCATCCCCCAAAAGCCCCATCTCCAAATACCATCCCTTTGCGGGGTTAGGGTTTCAACATACGAATTTGGGGGTGACACATTCAGTCCATAACAGAGACATAGGAGATACGGGAACATAGAGATATTCCTTCTGGAACAGAAAGAATCACTTCTGTGACTACTTACTTAAGAAATATAGTTTTGCTGGCACATTCTAGACCTCTAGAGGGTGGGGTTTTGCTGCTGACGCCTCTCGTCTCTACTTTTTTGTGTGACTCCTATATGAGCTTGATTATTTTTAGCAGCTTTTTCAAATACTTGGCCATCTCTTCCCAAATACGTATCAGAATTGCAATGGCAGTTTTTCCTTCTCTTGTTGATTAGGACTCGTTTCCAGGAGCAGATTAGGAAAGGCCTGAGTTACACACCATGTACCGTAATGTCTCTTCTGTAGTTTCTTATTCTCTTTAATTTGTACTAAATGGCCTCACTCAGACAGGTAAGTGCAGAGCGTCCAGATTCTCTGGGTCCGGGGTGGTTGCTCCAACCCCAGAGTCGGGCCCATGTGATACCAGGCCCCTCATGACTCTCTCCTTTACAGACATAGAGGAGGTCCTCTGTGTCTGTAAAGTTTCCTCATGCTCTGTGAGTTTGCACACCTATAAATCAGCACACCCAACAGCCGTTCTGCCCCAGGCACAGGGTCAGACAGGTCTCGGTCCTGAGCGAGCCCTGGGGCTGTAAGGACAGTGGGATGAAGCATGGGAGCAGGACTCACCGCGAGCATCTGGGGGCGGCGGTGGATGCTGACCGCACTGTCCCCACAGGTTCTTGAACAGCGTCGGCTCCTTCTTCCCGCTGATAGCGATGCTCACGTGGATGGTGTCCGTGGCCAGCATGGTCTGCAGGCTGCTTTATGAGCGGGAGATCCAGCTGGAGGAGGTGAACAGCCTGGGGGACGGGAGGGGGCGTTGGGGGGTTGGGGGTTGACGGCTGCCCCGTCACGGACGGGACGCCGCGTGTGCTCGGTTGGGTCCCGCCGTCCCAGGAGACTCGCTCTGCACAGAAGCCCAGGGCCCTGGCAGAGCTGCACAGGTGACACGTCTGGTCCGTCCAGGACAGGAAAGGAGGCTGAGGACGGGCCCACGAGAGTCGCTTACTCAGCAGTGTTTACACGACCCAGACAGACACACGGACGGAATTCCCGTCTTCGTTTACGGCTGGGATTCTTTATGTACAGCTTTGCTGTTTTTGTCCCAGTGTTGTTAAAACTCGAAACTATCAAAACTGCTTTTAAGAATGAAAGTTCATAAAAGCACCTGGTAAAGACCTGCCTTCCCGTTCAGCCGGGCAGACATGCCAGCACGTGGTATCCACTTATTTATTAAAGCAAAGGAAAAGTGCAAAGAGTCATTCAGTTTCGACTAGAGTTGCACTGTTGTATTGCGTGTTTTTCACCTGTGTAGCATGAATGCATTCCTGGATTTCTGTGTTTCTTCCCCATCCAGCTGGGCCCCGGGTGTAAGGCCTGGGACTGGGCGTTGGTGGTGCTGAGCTCCCTGCCCAGGGCCGCCAGCATGGGGCGTGCGTGTGAATTGCTCTCACTGCCAAGTAACCAGCCCTACACCCTGGTGTATCACCACGTTATAGGTGAGCAAGTGGTCGTTTCAGTGGATGGATTAATTTTAGTGTTATTACTTCAAACTGAATTACTTTGCAAAACACATTCTAGAACCTGAGCAGTCACCCCCAAAGTGAACAGCTTAAGGCCCAGTGTTTCACCCTTCAATTTTTCTCTTTGTTGTTATTAAACAAAACCAACACAAACCAAATGACAAAAAGAAAGAGGGAACAAAACCGACAAAAGCTCTATAAACCAGGAAAGGCAGTGAGACTGCAGCCGGTCAGGCTGGGGTCTGGGGTCTCTCCGCTTCGCAGCTGCCTTCTCACAGCTGTGAGGTGGTTCTCAGGCCACCTCGTCCCCCTTCTTCCCCTCCCCACGGCCAGCGACCTGCTCTGCAAGGGCTTTGTTTGCGTCAACGGCTGACTCTGGAGGAAGCGTCCAGCGCAGCGTCTCCGAGGCCACGTTTCCACACTGGCTGCCACAGGGAGGGATGAGCCCTGGCTCACCTGTCCCCCCGGCCGCACCTGCCCTGTCCTCTCTCAACCCCGTGATGACCGGTCCTCCCTGGGTGGACAGTATGTGAAGACGATGGGCCTGCCCCCTGCCGTCCACTTGCTGGCCCGGCTCCCAGAGCACGGGACAAAGCTGACGGTGAGCTGCTCCACCCTGGCCCTCATCCTCAGGGTCAGCAGCATCTTCACCTCCAGCAGCACCTGGATGGCGTCCTCTTCCTCCTGGACTTCGGGGTGTCGGTGGTCACACTGAGCTACCTCCTGAGCGCATCCTTCGGCCGGGCGAGCTCGGCCACCCTGTGCAGCGGCCTGCCCTATGCGGCCAGCTTCCTGTCCTACATCGTGCCGGCCTGCAGGCCTCCCTCGTCAGTGCGTTGTTTTGTGAAACTGCAGAACAAGGCTGCCGTGTACCCCGCAGCATGTTTCAGTGCATCACTGTCAGGTGTGTGGGGCTTCCCCAACTTCCCGGTGTCTACTCCACCCTCAGCTATAGCCTTGCCGTGGTGGGTTCACTGACACCACGGAGGGTTTGTTGAAGGGCGGCCCATGAAAAACGTGTTTTTCATGGAATAGGGACTTTCCTCTGAAGACTCTTGGAGAAATCGGGAGCGTCCTAAAGGAAGCGCATGACTTCAGTTTCTCTTTGTTTCACATATGGAAGGAAACAGATCTCCAAAGCTATGTTGAAGTAAAAAATAAGCATTTTTTTTTGGAAGCATCACGAATTACATCACATTAGCTGGAAAGATCTCTCCGTTGGCAGTGTCAGAGTCACCTATCCATTTAGAATGTACTTCCCCAAAAGCATTAGATTATGTCCAAGTGCTATAAATACGTAGAAGACAGAAACTCATCCATTCTTGGTGACTGTTACCTGGTGAGCTCAGTGCCAACACACAGTAGGGTCACACAGTACACAGCACTGGGACACACAGTAGGGACACAGTACACAGCACTGGGACACACAATAGGGACACACAGTACACAGCACTAGGACACACAGTAGGGACACAGTACCCAACACTGGCACACAGTAGGGTCAGCACTGGGACACACAGTAGGGACAGCACTGGGTCACACATCAGGGACACAGTACACAGCACTGGAACACAGTACACAATACTGGGACACACAGCAGGGACACAGTACACAGCACTGGGACACACAACAGGGACACACAGTACATTGGAAGGGATGGTGGAGCCACGTCTCAGGGCCTGCATCACAGCCCTGTCGTCATGTAAACATCCCTGAGCTCAAGGGCAGGGCACGTCCTCATGGCACCCTGTGGGGAGTGTGACTGGAGTCCCTGAGGGAGAATCTGGGGTGGGACCAGGTGGGAGAAGTCAGACAGAGAGAGACAGTCACTGTATGTTTTCACTTAAAGGCGGAATCTAAAATATCCAGCAGACGACCAAATATAACAAAACAGATACAGAGAGCAAACTAGTGGGTACGAGGGAGGGGTGGAGGGAGGGGCACGATAGGGTAGGGAGTGAGAGGTGCAAAGTACTAGCTATGAAATAAATGTTCTGAGGATGTGACGTGCAGGGCAGGGATTATAGCCACTATTTTATTGTAACTTTATGTGGAAGGTAATCTATGAAAACATCGAATCACTATGTTGTTCACTTGGACTAACCACTATACCTCAGTTATTAGAACAAAGCCACCCAGGGTTGCCAGGGGGCCCCTGAGGCCTTCAGAGGTTGCCCGTCCTGGGCCAGCCAGCCTCACTGCTGTGGGTGGGGTGAAGGTCTCTGCTCATTTCGGGCCTCAGGGTAAAATGCTTCCATGAAAAAAGCCACATTACTCTTCTCCAGCACCAGTAAACCCTTCAGTCCGCCCTGGTTTCCGCGGCTCGGCTCGTATGCCTAGATTTGCATGGTATTCATCAGTATGTTATCCAGTTTGGGTTAGTTTATGTCACACGGGTAGTCAGTAATTGTGTGTGTTAATTGGATGTTTTCAGAATAATGAAAACAACTGGGACCACTCAGTGCCCCCACCAGGTATTCCTTACATACAGAAAAAGAGCCACTGACCACCCGGCCTGAATTTCAACAGATGTTTTTTTTTATTTCAATCCTTAGATTTAAGGTTTTATGTCTACAAAGTCTGATTTCCTTTTTACATGTTGAAATGGTTTCTAGCAAACAAAGAATCTAACTCTGGTACATTACATTTTTAAACGTAAGATGCTTTTCCAATGAGCTTTCTTTTTTTTAAACACCAGACCTCGCTGCTGGAAATGAAATCACATTTTCTTCCAATGCTCCCTCTTCTCGTGTGCAGTCTCCATCAGTCTGCCTGCAGTGTGCTCCAGGGCATTCACTTAATAAAAATACATAGTAAATTGCTCTATTCCATTTGTCACTGTTTTGTGTTATACATTTCTGTGTACAGTGCATTGGATTTACCACACTTCAAGCACTGCAGTAAAGAGAGATAATGCCTTTTAACATTAAAAACTGTCTTGTTATTATGCTTTTCGGAACAGGCTGATGCGCGGCCCAGTCTTGGACTCAGATGTGGAGTGGCCACCTGGAGCGATGGTTTGGCATCATTAAGAGCCTGAATGTGCTGTGGTTTCGTTATTTGAACTTAGGGCTGTGGACTTCCTATGGCCCAATTGGGCACTAACTTGCAGTTTTTCTCTTCTCCCCCTCCATCTGCAAGCAGTACCTCCTCTCCACAACTGCCTTTGGACAAGGAGTACTTTTGGTTACATTCCTGGAAGGGCAAGAGGCAGGTAAGAGGATGCAGTTTTTAAAAATGTGACTCAGGTTTTTGGAAATTTAGTTATCGTGTTGCAATCGATACAGTAGAGAGTATTAGTTACAAAGCGGAAGGTTTGGAAGGAGATCCTTGCGTTGGTTTAGCTGATGTAAACCCTTCCCTCCATCCAGTTATCCTGGTTTTAGGAACAAGGACAATCCTGGCCTCCTGTGCTCCAGGTCGGTCGCCCAGCCAGTGCCTGGGGCTACCCCGTGACACCCTGAAACACACTTGGTCAATTAATGACCCTCGGAATTCTCCCCTGAATGGGCCGTGCAGGGTCTCATCTCTTAGACAGTTATTGAGCTGCAGTCTGTCTTCCTGGATTTCCTGCCCACTGTTCCTGGTTTCTCTTTCTAACCACCTCTTTCACATGACAGCTGTTTATATACCTCCAGGGTTTCTGGATCCTTCTTGAAGCCATGATCCAGAAGGAGATCTAACCAGCATAGAGCAGTTATCTCTCCTCTTTTCTGTGTATTTTATTCCTATTAATTCAGCCTACAATAATTAAAAAAAATTTGTTGGCAACGTTTTTCACTTACATTGAGATTTTGTCAACTAAAACCCTAGACCAGAACAGACACATATTTCTTAGATGTTTATATAGTTTTTTGTGGTGTGTTTTTGAAAACACAGGGAAAATATATGCCATATATGAAACTGAACTCCAGATAGCATTACATTAGCTCATTAATTTGTGCCAGTCTTGAAATTCTCCGACTTTTCTGTAAAACATGTTGAACTGTTCTGAACTGGACTACACTAAAAATGTATTAAAACAGATGAGTAATCCTGAAATGACCTATCCTGAATTCTTCAGACTGATTTTTAAACAAAATTGGATCATAAGGATATGGCAGAAAAATTGTCACTGTTTGCTTCTTTGAATATTTTGGACCAAATTCCAACAAGTACACAATGTTAAAACATTTATTTTATCGAGTTATAGGTTAGTATCATAGGAAAATTGAGAAAGATGAATATTTTTCTTAAAACAAATTATGTTTTAATCCAGCAATAACTTGCAAACATATTGTAATAAGAGAATGATTCTTTCCTATTGCAGATCCTATATATCCTGTTTATATGTTTTCCAAGAGCGAGAAGAATAGTATAATTTAGAGTTTGGGTTCTCAAGGAGCGGTCATCTTTTTATAAAACATGCTTATTTTCCCTAAATATAGATTGTTTTAGTTAAGCAAGTAATATATATAGTATATATATAATGTATATATATATATATATACATATATATATATTATAGATACTATATAGATATAAGTAAGGCAAACTTTAAACTTTTAAAAATGTTAGGTATTCAAGCATTGATAATGGTCACCCACCTGCTGTCCGTGAATCAGGGTGAGATGAAGCTAACATTTCACAGGAGGTACAGGGCCCATGGCCTTGACCTTCCTTTTGTTTTAGTTGTGCTCAGCTTTGCCTCCAGAACTGATGAATTCACCTCACCAAAGTCTGCCTGAAAGAGGATGAGCAGTTCTGACTCTGACCTTACTCTTCCTTCCAGGGATTCAGTGGGATAATATGTACCAGTCTCTGGAACTAGTGGGCATGACATTTGGCTGGGTTTGCTGGATGATTCTGTTTGATTCAGGCCTTCACTTCTTATGTGGATGGTACTTGAACAACTTGATTCCTGGTAAGAATTCTGCACTTTATAAGATGACAAAATCAACTTAAAAAACAGTTTGAACCGATGTATGTGAACATTAAGATAATTATTTATTCTTTAAATAAGACATCAGAAAGAGAGTTGATAGGATGTGTTTTATTTTTATTTTTTAAAAACTTTATTTATTTATTTAATTAATTTATTTTTGGCTGCATTGGGTCTTCATTGCTGCATGCGGGCTTTCTCTAGTTGCGGCGAGCGGGGGCTGCTCTTTGTTGCGGTGCACGGGCTTCTCATTGTGGTGGCTTCTCTTGTTGCGGAGCACGGGCTCTAGGCATGCAGGCTTCCGTAGTTGTGGCATGTGGGCTCAGTAGTTGCGGTGCACAGGCCCTAGAGCACAGCCTCAGTAGTTGTGGCATGCGGGCTCAGTAGTTGTGGCTCGCGAGCTCTAGAGCACAGGCTCAGTAGTTGTGGCGCACGGGCTTAGTTGCTCCACGGCATGTGGGATCTTCCCGGACCAGGTCTCGAACCTGTGTCCCCTGCACTGGCAGGGGGACTCTTAACCATTGCACCACCAGGGAAGCCCAGCCCATGTTTTAAAGGGAGCTGTGGATGCTTGAGGAAAAGGTGGTGCTTCTGAATCCTGACAGCAACGACCCTGTGAGGACAGGTGCTGGAGGGGCCCACTGAGCTCACCACGCAGCTCCCCAGCAGGGGCCTCCTGAAGACGGAACAGCAGATACCCTGATTCCCCAGATCCTGTGTCTGAGGAACCCGGGGGTAAGGGGGTGAGGGCAGGAGAGTCTGGGCCCCTGGAGAGGTCAGGGGTTCAGAGAGTGCCATGCAGCAGGAATGAAAGGACCTCATTCTCAGCCAGGTCAGTGGGTGGCAGAACCTGGAGGGAAGCTGGGCTGGGAACGAGGCAGCTGAGTGTGGGGGTGGGAGTCGGCAGCTCCTCCGAACCAGAGCGTCAGCGGCGTCCTGTGTGGAGGTGGTGAAGGGCCTTGTTCTTGTAGAATATTTTTTAATTTTTATTTTATCATTATTATTATTTTTTTAACCATGCCACATGGCATGTGGGATCTTAGTTCTCCCAGCAGGGATTGAACCCGCCCCCCCTGCAGTGGAAGTCAGGAGTCTTAGCCACTGGACCGCCAGGGAAGTCCTGAATTTTTTTATTTTTTAAAAATCTTAGTTCCCTCTCCTCTTCTACCTGACTCATTTCTAGATTTTTATCTTTGGGCTCAGTAATTCTTCCATATGCTCTATTTCCAGAGCTTTCTATTGCATTCTTCTCGCATTTATTGAGTTCCTCAGCTCCAGAATTTCTGTTTGGTTCTTTTTTAGAGTTTCAGTCTCTCTGGCAAAGTATTACTTCTGTTCATTAATTTTATTCCTGAGCTCATTAAACTGCCTTTCTGAGTTTTCTTACAGCTCGTGGAGTTTCTTCTCTTTTTAAAATTTTAAAAAAATTTTTTTAAATTTTTTAATTTTTAATTTTAATTTTTTAACATCTTTATTGGGGTATAATTGCTTTACAATGGTGTGTTAGTTTCTGCTTTATAACAGAGTGAATCAGTTATACATATACATATGTTCCCATATCTCTTCCCTCTTTGTTTCCAGTTTGAAAACTATTTGACATTATTTTACAATGGTGTGTTAGTTTCTGCTTTATAACAGAGTAAATCATTTATACATATACATATGGTCCCATATCTCTTCCCTCTTTGTCTCCCTCCCTCCCACCCTCCCTATCCCACCCCTCCAGGCAGCCACAAAGAACCAATCCTGTATCCCTGTGCCATGCGGCTGCTTCCCACTAGCTATCTACCTTACG